TCCCGGTTCCTTTTCACCTGGCGTCTATCCGAACGCAGTCGCAACCGATTTTTCGGTAAAATCGACAACGGCTGGCACCTCACAACCGCCGCAGAACGGCGACTACTCATCGACGGCACCACCGACACCGTGCTACTCCTTCACTAGCCAGATGCCCTTAAAGATGTTTACAGAGCAGGTGGTTCAGGCGGCAAACAATCTGCACGATTGTCGAAGGAGGGTACGGCGTGAACTGTGCATACTGCGCTCTGCTTAGGACACCAACATCAACATCATATTCACAACTACCAACACCACCACAGACACAACCACCACCAGCGCGAGAACTGTCACCACCACCATCACAGACACCATCATCTCAAATACCATTACCATAGTCACCACCACAATCATCACTATCACCAACACCACAAACTCCATTAACAACAACACCAGTTCCGCCACATACAACACCACAAACACCATCAACACCGCCAACACTATCACCAACACCATCATCACAACCTCCACCACAAACACCCCCATCATCACTTCCTCCAAAACCATCATCACAACAACCACAACCAACAGCGTCAACAACACCACCAAAGCCAACGGCAACTCACGACATACACCATCACCACCTCCACCACAAACACCCCCACCGCCATCACTACCACTAACACCACCACCAACCAAAACGCCTACTCCGCCACATACACCATCACAAACACCATTAAGACCACCAAAACCACACCACCACCACCACCACAATCACTACGAAACCAACACTAACAACACCAACAACACACACACATATATATATATATAATTAAAACCACCACAACCACCACCAAAATCGTCACACGCACCAACACCACAGTCACTACCACTAACACCAACCCCAACATAACCAACAACAACACCAAAACCACCACATACATAAACGCCACCGTCACCACCAATACCGTCAATAACACCAACAAAATTATCACTATGACCTCTAATACTAAAACCACTGCCAAGATCATTACCACTATTAACAACACTGCACTCGCCAACACAGACTACCACCAGCACGGGTGCCGTATAAAAATCAATGTATTTCTGCAACTGCATTGTTTACTAAGGTATTTTTTCTGAATCATCAAGGTCACTACCAATTTCCTTCTGGAGCCCGAGCTGTCTGCATCGGTCGTGTGGGCGTACATGATGGCTCAGTTCGAGGCGCACGCACACCAGGTCATCCGGTTCGCGCGCGCTATTCCCGGTTTCCGAGATCTTCCTCGATCAGACACCAAAGTCCTGGTGCAAGAGAGCATGTACCCCATTGTCCTCATCCAGCTCTCACGTGACTTCAATGCCACCTCCATGGAGTACAATTTTTTCAACTTCACACCCCGAGAACGCAGGTATATTCTCACCGAATTTCCCATCATGCGGAAGGTCGCTGCACAGCTGCGCGACGCAGGCACCTTCCTTAGGCCCAAGAACATGGATGAAAACGAGATTGCCCTCCTCTGTTGCATCGTCTTCTTGCAACACTGTAAGATATATTTTTTGCCGTGAAGTTTAAATATCTTAAATTTTGTGATTCAGTCGATCTTTCAGCCAATTTTACTCGATGGTTAAAATTGACGGTAACAGTCTATTAGGGGTAATACCATAGAAACCAACAACCCCAGAATTCAGTAATACGTAACCACTAGTAATAGAGGTCATACGGGCGGGGCATTACGGAAGGTCCGTCTCTACACGCATTCACGAACACAAACTGGCAGTGAAAAGACGTGACCATTTATCCGAAGTGACTATGCACAGCCTTGATACAGGACAAAGCTTGGCATGGGACAAGACACGCATCGTCGGAGCTTGCCCTTCTAAAAAAGGCCAAGAATTTAATTAAGTCATGCAATCCGGCGATTCATGTATCAACCGAAACATCGAGTTAGATAGAATTTAGAAACATCTCAAAGAACGGTGAAAAAGACGAGAGCCGCACAATACAGACTGACAGAGGCCACAACTAACAATCAACTCTCACACCATCACTGTTGCTTTTTTTCCGTACGTTGGAAATTGTATTTGTGCGTTGCACCTTCTCGTTAGTCCGAAGACGAGCTGGGTAATCAGTCTCGAAAACTAACTGATTAAATTTACCTGTTTTTACCCTAAATAACATCTTTTATTTTCGAATTAAAGTTTTTGGGATGCATAATCTCCAGTTTATAAAAAAAATAAAAGACGTATATCAAAGAAAAACAGGAAACAGTAGATGAATTTATTATGAAAAGCTAATGTATAGCATCGAAAAGCGCCCGATAATCGAAAAATAAATTAAAATAAGGTAAGGGAAAACTAATGAACAATTAATTCAATTTATGAATAAAATACTAAATTTAAAAAAAATTACCAATGCCACAGGTCTTGTATTACAGATTTCTGTGGGTTTCGGATTTCCATGCTGTTACCTATAATAGACTGTTACCAAATTGGCTTTAAATTCCCTGTTTTGCCTTCGAGTTTCGACGGCATTTTAATTACTGTAGGCGACTTTACTCATTATTTCGTCAAAGCTAACCATTGAGTAGCCGGGGCCTTTCCTTTGGCCTTCAACAATTAAAAGTTATCTTGTTATTACAGTCCCTGGCACAACCTACGAATTGGGCTTAGACCCATGAAAACTAACATTCTTCGCAGGCAAGCGGAAGTGTCAAAAGCTTGCATATTTGTGTCGAATGAGTAGGCTAATTTTAAAGTACATAAGACCAGTTCATGCAACCCACTGAGTAAATGAAACAGCATAAGCGACTGATTGCCCACACCTACGAAACGGACCCTTAGTTGAACTTAAAAACGATCAAGATAATCACCCACGCCAGAAGCAAGACGAGCCGAGCCTGGTCTCCAGATGGGAACTCGATCAATCGATATATCGATCTGGCACCAACATACAGAGCCCTGAGCGGGCACCTTCATCATTGATTGGCTTGAACCAGCTATAAGTGTAGCCGTTGTCTGTTGTCGCTAATACATCTGCCGATGAACTCCTGCACGAGATCTACAGCTCAGAATAATGAACAAAGTATTGGTTTGTACA